ATCCATCTCAAAGTCCACTGACAGATGGCAACACCGCTTAAAAGATTAAAAACAGGAAAACTTAATTCAATGCATTAATAAGAAAGACAGAAAGGATGTAATTTATATAAATATAAAAGCATCTCAAACATTTAGACAGAACTCCAGAGCACAAATGTCAGGCACTAATTTAAAAAAAAAAAAAACCCAGATCATTACTGCAGCTAAAGCACCGAACCAAAACATTTCACAGAGGTTTAAAAATTTAATACACATCTTCAGTTCCATTACATCTTAAGCCTATCAGAATAAACGACAGGCCTTTCACACGTGTTGTGTAAAGGTGAAACCTGCAGGGCTGAGTTCCATAGTTACAACACCAAGGTAAATGATAAAGCTTTAACAGTGATGGATGTCTGCTTTAAAATCATGTGTATAAAGCTGAAATTGAAGGTAGAAGAACAGTTTCCTCCCAAAGAAGGCAAGCCAGCATGGCGATAAAAATGCACGGAATAAGAACAGTTAAAAAACCATCCATCCTTCCACTTTATTCAGTCCTTAGCAAGACCAACACCTGGAATACTGCATTCAGCTTGGGTCACCACGTTACAAAAAAGATGTTTGGACTATGGGGGAAAAAAAGTTCAAAGAAGAGCAACTAAGATGATTAGCCGCATAGCTCCCAGCGACCAGTAAGATCCCACAGAGTCGGTCTCCTCCGGGTCCCGTCAGCAAAACAATGCCGGCTGGCGGGCCCGCGGGGGAGGGCCTTCTCTGTGGCTGCCCCAGCTCTCTGGAACCAGTTACCTCCTGAGGTCCGGACCATCCCCACCCTATTGGCCTTCCGAAAAGCGGTGAAGACCTGGCTTTTCCGGCAGGCCTGGGGCCGTTGATCTCGTTCTTGTGATCTGGCGAGATCCGGCCATGAATGGCGTGAATGAGTTTTTAATGTTTTTAATTTTTAAATGTTTTTTTTTATAATGATTTTTTTAAATGTATTGTGAGCCGCCCTGAGTCTTCGGAGAGGGGCGACATATAAATTGAATTAATTAAATTAAATTAAATTAAATTAAATTAAATTAAATTAAATTAAATTAAATTAAATTAAATTAAATTAAATTAAATTATTATTATTTTTTTTTAATTTGATTTATATGCCGCCCTTCTCCGGAGACTCAGGGCGGCTTACAATGCGTTAAGCAATAGCCTTCATCCTTTTGTATATTTTATACAAAGTCAGCTCATTGCCCCCACAAACTGGGTCCTCATTTCACCTACCTTAGAAAGGATGGAAGGCTGAGTCAACCTTGAGCCTTGGTGAGATTCGAACCTGCAGTAATTGCAGGCAGCAGATGTTAATAACAAGGGTGCTTTAGACCACTGTGCTACCAAGACTCTCTATTATTATTAAATGCCTGGAGACTAAAAACATAGGAAGAATGGTTGCAGGAATTGGGTATGTCTAGTTTAATGAAAAGGAGGACTAGGGGAGACATGATAGCAGTGTTTCGATATCTCAGGGGCTGCCACAAAGAAGAGGGGGTCAAATTATTATCCAAAGCACCAGACGGCAGGATAAGAAACAATGGGTGGAAACTAATGAAAGAGAGAAGCAACCTGGAACTAAGGAGAAACTTCCTAATAGTGAGGACAATTAACCAGTGCAACCGCTTGCCTCCAGGAGTTATGGGTGCTCCAACACTGGAGGCTTTTAAGAAAAAACTGGACAGCCAACTATCTGAAATGATATTGGGTCTCCTGCTTGAGAAAGGGGTTGGACTAGAAGACCTCTATGGTCCCTTCCAGCTGTATTCTGATTGAACCATAAGTTACCTAGTAATTAGGATTGCAGATGTTCCTGGACAAGAAAACAAGCGGATGATGCCATACTCAACGAAGGCATTAATGTGTGCTCCGATAACGTTCCTCAGCTTATCAATGCAAGACTGCTCTATCTGTCTATTGTAACTAACTCGGTCTACAACTTCTGTGTTTTATTTCCCATTTGATCTAACAGTTACTACACTCTCAATTATGCCATAATATAAACATACTACAGTGCACTTCATCAAAAGTGTGCCAGAGTGAATGTGTTAGCCTGTTGAGCTGTCACAAGAGGTTGCTGGTTTTGCTCCCTATTATTCAATTAGCCACAATAAAACATACACCTATCTGCACTCTAGTTGAGACACAACCACACCATAACATTATCCTAAAAGCTAGTGTTTGTGAAATTTAAAAAAAAAAACAAACCCAGCAACAGCAATCAGCTGAGGCAATGGAAATTCTGCCAATCTCTACCGATTATATATATATATATATATATAATACATATACACACACACACACACATACACATTATATATATACACATACACACACACACACACACATAACACATTATATATATACACATACATACACACACACACACACACACACACACACATATATATATATATAAAATTAAGATCAATGCAGGCTGATCCTATAGGGTAGAGGTCTTCAAACTTGGCAGCTTTAAGACTTGTGGACTTCAACTCCCAGAATTCTCCAGCCAGCATAACATAGCTGCTGGAGAATTCTGGGAGTTGAAGTCCACAAGTCTTAAAGCTGCCAAGTTTGAAGACCTCTGCTGTAGGGATTTTGAGAATCCCAGCATATCCTTAAACCTGTATCTTTTGTACAAACCACGCGCACATCGCATTCAAAACATGTCAACAATAATAATAAGGTACAATTATTGCAGAGGGGATTTCGGTTACTTATTTTAGAAACAAAAACATTCAAAATATTTCCATTGACAAAACAACAAAGCACGGCATTTTGTTTACTTCTTAATGTCACTGTTTTGTTTACTTCTGAATACCACCCTTTTCCATGCAGCTTGTTTGGAGGAAACAAAAGAAATTGCCATCTCATCGATGCAAAAACTTTTCAAGCAAAAAGTACATTTCCTACCAGTATTTCCAATTTTGTTTAGCAACAGTGTTTGTTATTACAACGTCTGATACACTGTTGATGTTGCCTAGTTTAGTAATAAAGAAAACCACTAAAGCTCAGAGGGCACCAAGGCCCACACAGTTCAATCCTGAGCTACAAATATTCTGTTCCAATGATAAAATCTGGAGTATCTTCAACTGTTTTTAAACAGCTTAGCTTAAAACTAAATTTGTTGGTATCATTTTCGAGGGGAGGTAGGGACGTTAGTAACATGCATCAGATATTTGTACTAACAATTGGTTTAATTGACAGTTTCATATTTCTCGATCAATGGTTTAGGGTATCTTGAAATGAGTTATTATTAGAAACCACCGATTCTTAGTATGAAAGCAGTCACTGGCACACTGATGTCATGCAATTAATATCAGAAGGATATATAAAAGTTTTGATGTTTTCTGCTGCAGTGAAGAGTCCATTAGTGTGTTTTCCCTATGGTGGCAGAAAGCATATGCTTAGTTGTAGAAAAACTGCAGGATGATTGTTCTTTGTTTCCATATGCTCAATATCTGTGCAATAAATTTAAAAAATCACCAAGGTTAAGAAAAGGGAGATTGATTTATGTAATAGGGGCGGGAACGAAACAAAAAGAGCCATCAACCACAATTCTTAGACATCCCTCCTTAAAAGTACAGCCCACTGAGGCCAACTGGATTTACTTCTGAGTAATTCTAATTGACTTGTGGTCTAAATGTATGGTTATTTCTCTAGCAAGAGGCTAAAGTTAAGTCAGAGACTATTACAACAATCCTAATGCTACAGCCTTTTGTACAGTCATGTTGCAAGATTGGAATTAAAATACAAATTATACATCAGGCTGCTTCAAGACAGAGCTGCTTGAAATCAAAACACTTTCATGGTTAATTGGGCATTCTTACAATATAATATATATGTAGGTCTTTGGTTATTTGGGTTTTCTCCCACGTAAAATTGGTATAGATATATCTAGATATCTAGATATCTAGATATAGATATATATTTCACCTATGTGATATACACACTGAACTGTAATTCCAAACATATTACTATCCAAAACTGCTTCTGTTTAACCTATCATAAAGGCTTTTTTTTTTTGAGGATGTTATGCTTTTTCACTGACATATTGGCACTGATGATACAGATAAATTATGTTGCATCTCCCAGACATCCAATTTACCCAGGTGTCTTCAACTCTTGTTGGACTTAATTCAACACACCCAGGTTTTTTTTTTTTAAGAGCCAAGGACCATTTATACAGCTTCAAACAACATTACGCCCCTGTCAGATTTTTCTACCAAATCCACGAGGCCTAAACCCTTTCTTCCCTCCCCACCACCCCGCGCTAAAGTTAACTATTGATCTTGGCCAAATTCACTCCATTTTTCCTTGCTTTTGTCTGTAGCTCAGTGGGTTTTTTTTTTTAAACCCCCCCCCCCAATGTCGGAGCCCACGATCTACACACAAACCACTGCAGCCCATCAATCATTACAGACACAGCAAAAAAAAAGATTAGCCAGCGAGCTCATTTTTAAACATCATGACCTTCTCCGGGTCCTATTAAAAAGAATAATGTTATATATATATATATATACACACACACACACACCAAATTTATATTTCGCTGATAAAGAAATAAAGGGAGACCATATATATATAAACACACACACGTATGTGTATATGTGTATATATATAGATATATACACACACATATATATACATATATACACACACATACACGTGTGTGTATAGATAGATGGATATAGATATAGATAGATAGATAGATAGATAGATAGATAGATAGACAGATAGATAGACAGAGAGACAGACAGACAGACAGACAGACAGACAGACACATACATATAAATACACATATTCACACACATCCACCAGGCTCAGCGGATAGGCACCACAATATAGGCCAGCCACTAACACACATAACCACACACACACACACGTTGTAACGACCACCTTTCCGCTTAAAAAAAAAGAAAGAAAAGAAAGGGGGAGAAAGGGGGGGCGGAGAGACCTTTCCTTCGCGAGGCATGCCTTTCAAGCCGCGATCTCTAGGACCATCAAACGGAGATAAGCGACAGATCCCCGACCGCGAAAACCTCTCTGGCGGCAAGTTTTTTCCAGGTGGGGAGGAGTGGAGTGGGGGGGGCACCTACCAGGGCATCCCCCTCACTCTTTTCCCCCATCCCTTTGTTCTTCTTCTCTCCCCCCCACCCCACTCCACGTCTCCGATCTCCCCTTCCCAGGAAGAGACCCTCTGAAGCTCAGCCTCCCCCCCTCCAATTCCCCCCCCTCCCAACACCACGGGGCCAAGACCCCGAGCGACCCTCCTTCCCTCCCTCCGGCCTCCCCCATTTACCCCTTGCCCTCTTCACAACCCCCCCTCAAAAAAAAAACCTCACCTCCCTACACCAGGCCCCACCTCCCTTCCCTTCCCCCACCCTCCCCCCCTCTCTCCTCTTGCGGAGACCCCCCCAAAACACCCAGAAGCAGCAGCACCCAGCCAGGCCACCCCCCCTAAAGGGCCAGGGTCTCCCTAGGGAGGCAGACACGCCCCTATCCCTCCCCCTCCCTCCCCCCCCCTTACTTAGCCACGCGGGGAAAGTTACCCCGGGCCACCTTGGGGAGGGGGGAGAGGGGGGGCTTTCCCCCTACCTCCAACAAGAGAGGAGCCCCTCCCCTCTGGAAAGGGGAAGCCTCAAGCCTTCCCGCCCCCCAAAAATCAGGACCTGTCCATCTCTCTCCCTCTCTCTCCCATCCCCCCCTAAACCTCCCCTCCCTCGCATCCGAGACCCCATCCCAAAGGAGGGAGGGAGGGAGGGCGAGGGGTGGGGCCAGGGGGAGGGAGGGAGGGGAAAGGAAGGAAAGGAGGGAGGGAAGCTGCCAAGCTCTCCTCCCCCCCCCCCATAGACACACACACACACACACACACACATACTCGGGGCCTTTCAAGGCCGCGAGAAAGTTGCTGCCCCCCCTCTCTCCACCTGATGGGCCTCTCCCCCTCCCCCCTCCCCCTCCCCTCCCCCCCCCCAGCCTTGACTCACCAGCGAGAAGAGGTTGGAGTGACAGTCCTCCAGGCTCGCCCCGTTCGCCGCCGCAGTCATGGTCCTCCTCGGCGAGCCCGGCCTCCAGAGCGGGGCATGTCTAGCCGGGCCGAGCGGGGCAGCACAAGCAGCAGCAGCCGCACAGGCGCCGAGGGGGGCGGGCCCGGCGGCGGCGGCGGCGGAGGCGCCCGCCCGCCCTCTTTTTTTTCTTTTTTTTTCCCCCCCTTCCTTCCTTCTTTCTTTCCTTCCTTCCTTCCTTCCCGCCGAGATCCTCCGCGAAGCCCCCTCCCTCCGATCGGCAGAGAGGAAAGGGCGGCGGCGGCGACGGTAGCAGCAGCAGCAGCAGCGGCCGCCACTCGGCGCGGGAGGGGCTGCCGCTTCCGCCTTCCCACTCGCTCGCCCGCCCGCGTCGGGCCAAAGAAATGAAGATGGGGGGGGGGGGAAAGGAGGTGGTGCGGGAAAAACGAGGCGGGCGGCGACGACAAACGAAAAGGTGCGCGCGCGCGCTCTTCAGGGGAGCCGCCGCTGTGGCTGTTGCTGCTGTTGCTGCCGCCGCCGCCGGGTGGATCCCCTCAGGGCGGGCGGAGGCAGGCAAGCCGCTCCTCCTTCTCTGGCGGCGGAGGAGGAAGGAAAGAGGAGGAGGCGGCGGCGGCGTCCTCCTCTTCCTCGCCGCCCGGCTAACGGATCGAGCGCGGCCGCCGCCGCCGCCGCCGCCGCCGCTCCTTCTCCCTTAGTGAGGCTCCCCCTCAGCGCCGCCTCGCACTCCTCATAGACATAACACAGAAGGCTGGCAGGGCTCGGGGGCTCTGACAGCAATGGCGGCCGCCAGGAGCAGCGCGCTTCGCCATTGGCCCGACGCGGGTCACGTGGGGCGGGCGTCCCGGCTGGACGCAAAAGGAGGAGGAGGAGGAGGAGGACACTGAGCGGGGTTGGTGGGGGGGGGGCGGGGGGAGAAGGAAAGAAGGAAGGAGAGGCGCGGACGCCGGCGGGCGGGCGGGCGGGGAGGAAACGCTGCTTATGCGCAGGCGCCGTAGGGCCGAGTTTGCCGAAGGGGGCGCTGTGGATCCAAGAGGCGGAGCAAAGCGAGGCAGAAGTTACCTCGCAGTAACGGAATGCGCGGCTTTTCGAAGCCACGCCCCCTCTCTTTTTTTTTTTTTGCTGATTGACAGCTGCGTCTTTCTCCTCAGCTTCAATGTGGATTTATTTAATAGTGTATTTTAGGTGGGTTGGTTTGTTTTTTTGTTTTTTAAAAAAAAATTCTCTCCTGTTTTTTTTTTTTCTTGTCGCTTCTCAATATTTTTTTTTCCTAGTTTTAGCTTATATTAGTTTTTTTTTTTTTTTTCTTGCCTTGGTTGCAAACCTCCCTGAAATGGTTAGCAAAACGTCAGTTTTCTGGTTTTTTGTTTTGTTTTTTTTGTTTTTTTACAAAGGAGGAGATTATTGTTTAGATTAATAATAAGCCCGTCCTTGTATTTTATTTTACAATCTAATAAAAATGTTGAAAGTGGGATTTTTTAAAAAAAAATAAAATAAAATAAAAATCACCTCTTTGGGCAGCGTTTTGGGTTTATATGTATCGATGTATCTTGTTTTTAAAAATTACAATGGAATGTGTTGCTTCCAGAATAAAAGTATATCATACCCTGTGAGAGAAACTCAAGCCAGCCAAAGGATAAATCTTTAATCGGTAAATGCGTTCGTCTGAAAATAATCTGTATTTTTGATTTGCTATTAAACAATGGAAAGAATAGAATAGAATAGAATAGAGGATAGGATAGGATAGGATAATAAAATAGAATAGAATAGAATAGAATAGAAAGAATAGAATAGAATAGAATAGAATAGAATAGAATAAGGAAAGAATAAGGAAAGAAGGAAGAAGAATGGAATAGAATAGAATAGAGGACAGGATAAGAATATAGAATAGAATAGAATAAGAAAGAAGGGAAGGTGAATAAAATAGAATAGAATAAGGAAAGAAGGAAGGAGAATGGAATAGAATAGAATAGAAATAGGTATGTAATTGCAACATTGATGCATTATATAGAATAGATATATACGCAAAAGGAAAGGAAGAATAACAAAAATAATTTGTATGTACTCAGGAGATATACTGTTATTGGAGTGCTGTAAAGATCGAAATTGTGATATAAAATGAAAACTGTTTAATAAAAACTATTTTTTTTAAAAAAATGGAATGGAATGGAAAATAGAATAGAATATAGAATAGAATAGAATAGAATAGAATAGAATAGAATAGAATAGAATAACAGTTGGAAGGGACCTTGGAGGTCTTCTAGTCAACCCCCTGCTTAGGCAAGAAACCCTACACCACTTCAGACAGATGAAAGGCGTATGTGTTTTCGCCATTTTTATGTGGAGACCCAAGATCCTGGTTTGAACAAGGGGCATCCAAGCTTTATATAACGTAGGGTTTCACCAAGTCTAAATTTGGCACTGGGTCACCCTCTTTTGAGTTGGCACAAGTCCCCGAAGCTGAAAGTCGCCCAACAATTTTGTATCAAATGCTGACGTGCATTCAAATCATTTTGACTAAGGTTGGCTGATAACTAAAGCTGGCTGGAGTATTAATTTTTTTTGTAAGCGTAATTTTTTTTTCTTTTTAACAAAGCCGTCATCGATTTTGTTTTGTTTTGTTTTTTTAAAGGAAAATCTGGGGAAAGTGCAAATGCAAAAGGCGATGGAGAGAGAATCCACCGAATCACCTATACTTATCAATACTCACTGGATTTCCAATGAATTCATGATTATAATATAATAACAATTGTTAGGGGTGTGCATTAGTACCACCTCTGTAATTGAGTAGATTAAGCAGCTCCTATAAAAGGCAGCCCCTGGGGATCTGGCCATAATAGGAGGACTAATATACTTTGGGTTGTCAATATTTGTTTTTCAGTTGGCTGGCTGGGGAATTCTGGGAGTTGGAGTCCACAGGTCTTAATATTGCCACGGTTGGACATTCCTGAATTAAAGCTCAGGGCATTCCCCTGAGTCTTCTGCGGTTATGGAAACCAGGTATGTAGATTTGACTGATTCAAGGAAAGACACCTAATTGCACACAAAATCTTTCTTTCATTCATTCATTCATTTTTCCTTTTTTCTTTCTTTCCTTCATTCCTTCATGTCTTTCCTTCCTTCATTATTTCATTTTCTTTCTTTTTTTCCTTCTTTCTTTCTTTCTTTTCTTTCATTCTTTCATTTTCTTTCCTTCATTCTTTCAGTTCTTTCTTTCCTTCATTCTTTCATTTCATTCTTTGATTTCCTTCTTTCTTTCGTTCATTTTTTCATCTCTTTATTTCCTTCATTCCTTCATTTCTTTCTTTCCTTCATTCTTTCATTTCTTTATTTCCTTCATTCCTTTCTTTCCTTCATTCTTTCATCTCTCTCTTTCTTTTTTTCGAAAAGTGCAAGATGTTACTGACAGCAAATCAGAACTGACAGCCATATGGGCAAATATTGGAGAGCTCTCTGTTTTTTTGCAATAGAAAAGCATAATAAATATGTGGGTTTTAATCGGGCCTCGGAACAGCGGGATTAACAATATGGGGTTTCTCCCTGCTCCAAAAGAACAGTTCTACCTTTCTGCAGTCGCTGCCCTCCACATTCACAGGATGACACAATTTTGAGGACAGCATGGGAGTTGTAGCCCCCCATGATTAAAGAGCACCAAGCTCGCGGGTGGGGGGGGGACACAACAGGCAGTTAATCCAAAATCCAGGGCTGGTAAGCAGCTTCAGAAGGTGGATGGCTTGCCTCTGCATTTACATGCTAAAACACAACTAATTCCATCTTGGCTTGTTCATGTGATCCAATTGCTTGAGTTCACACAATACGCTGAACCTTCAATCAGCTAGCCATCTTTCAGCCTAATGTATTGTGAATAGCCGGCCGAAGGACATAGAGGACCCCACATCCTGTTCACACAATGGGCTAATTCTGCTGTACCATCACTGACTTAACTTGATTCAAATTAAAAACAGTTCACGCAGGCAAAGCCATAAATCCTAACCGTGTTTGGATTCAAGCAACCCACTAAGTCAAATTCTGACATTCAGCATAAAACCATAATAGGGCTGGAAGGGATCTCAGAGGTCTTCTAGTCCAACCTCTTACTCAAGCAAGAAACTCTACCTTCCCAGACAAGTGGCTGTCTACTAGTCTATTCTTGAAAAACTTCCAGTATTGGGGCACTTAACAACTTCTGGTGGCAAGCCGTTCCATTGATTAATTGTTCTCACTGTCAGGACATTTCTCTTAGGTTGAATCTCTTCTTAATTAATTTCAATGGCCTGTTGGATGCCTAAAAGGGAATCATTTTGTAACATTGGCCATGTTGTATCATTGTCATGCAGGATATTTTCATGTCATTTTGTAACATAGGCCATGAACATAACAATGTTACACCTTTTCTTGTTTCTTTTTCTTTGCAATTTTAATTCCTTAGAATTAGAGTCTTGTGTTTGTTTGTTTCGGGGTTGAGAGTTGTACATTTTCTTCAGATCTTCCAAGTCCTTTTCCTTTTGCTGTTCCTTTTTTTTTTTTTGTCCTTCTTTCCACTCAGTATTTCCTTCTTTATTCCATCTCAACCTATTTTACTCCTTTGCCACTTTTTTCTCTTCACGTTCCTCTAACTTTCTCTTGCACTAACTCAAGACGAGTGGGCATCCAGTTCCTGTTGTGGTTATAAAGTCTCATTTATATGCAAGATTGTATATGGATGACTAGTTTATATCTTTGCATTAATTTAAGCAGTTACGGAAAATGATCGCTCTCTGATGATTCACTTATTTGTAAGGTGTATGTCAGTCCCTCCCTGTCCTTCAAGAGCTCCAGATACTGTGCTTAACGCTTCTTGCCTCATGTGTTTCATTTGTAACAACAGCCCTGTGAGGTAGACAGGGCTGGGAGAGAATGTTTGTCCCCGAGAGCTTTTGTGGACCAGGGGAAAGAGAATCTGTGCTTGGAGGTGCTTGGTAGTCTAAGAAAGAAAATCCCATTTCCATGCCGCTTGTATACCTGGTTCCTAGTTTTATCCTGTTATTTTTAATGTATTTAATGTTTTCATATTCTTGCTTTTATTGTGTTGTAAGCCATCGTGAGCCACTTCAGTATAGATGGTCGGTGTAGTACTCAACCTACGACCACCATTGAGCCCAAAATTTCTGCAGCCAAGTGAAACATTCATTGAGTTATGCCCCATTTTACAACTTTTCTTGCCACGGTTGTTAAGTGAATTGTTGCAGATATTAAGTTAGTAACATGGTCCATCTTTCTTTCTCTCTCTCTCTCTCTCTCTCTCTCCCCCCATCTCTTTCTCTCTCCCCATCCATGGATGGATGGATGGAAAGAGAAAGTTGGAGATGGAGATAGATCTCAAATTCCCTGTTCTTCTATGTTGTTATAGATGCATTCTGGAGACAGTATTGCTCTCATTTCATGTTTCAGCTGCAGCAAACATCTGGGCAATATTAAGGCAGGGGAAAGGTTGGGGGTTTAACCCCTCTTTCTGGCTGCCTGGCTTTGGAGTACAATGGAAAAAAAATGTTTCAGCACTATTTCATTTGACCAGATGTACATTTTAATTAAAGTTTGCTCCATTGATATCTGTTCGGTTTCTTGGAGTAATTGCACACCACTCTGTTAATTAACAGCTGGGAGGCTATCAGCTTATGGGTCATTATTTCTGTAGTGGCCGAGAAAGTCTAGTCATTCCATTAGTTCATTCACAGAATCCGAGAGAATCTCACATTTTGTGGAAGGCCAGTTCTTAGGAGAAAGAGGAGATCTGAAATGACAACCTTTCTACAGGGGAGAAGTTCACAATGAAGGGCTTGTGTTTTTTTTATCCACTTGGGGAATCCTAACACCAAAATGAAGCCAACTTGAAATATTTTCATCCCAAAATAGCAACCTGAAGTTGTAGTAAATTAGAACAGACATAGAACAACAGGACTTGTTCACCTTTTGGCTGAAATCTTGTAGACAAGGTAAGAGAGAAATATACAAAAAGGTTTGTTTCAATGGTAAAAGGTAAAGGTTCCCCTCGCACATATGTGCTACTCGCTCCCGACTCTAGGGGGCGGTGCTCATCTCCGTTTCAAAGCCGAAGAGCCAGCGCTGTCCGAAGACGTCTCTGTGGTCATGTGGCCGGCATGACTCAACGCCAAAGGCGCACAGAACGCTGTTACCTTCCCACCAAAGGTGGTCCCTATTTTTCTACTTGCATTGTTTACGTGCTTTCAAACTGCTAGGTTGGCAGAAGCTGGGACAAGTAACGGGAGCTCACCCCGTTACGCGATGCTAGGGATTCGAACCGCTGAACTGCCGACCTTTCGATCGACAAGCTCAGCGTCTTAGCCACTGAACCACCATGTCCCTGTTTCAACAGTAGTAGCCTGTAATACTGCATTCTAACTACTGCACCACCATGTAAGTGCCGTGGTAGCACAGTGGTTAGAATGCAGTATTGCAGGCTACTTCTGCTGACTGCCAGCAGTTGAATCCTGACCGGCTCAAGGTTGATTCAGCCTTCCATCCTTCTGAGGTCAGTAAAATGAGGACCCAGATTTTGGGGGGCAATATGCTGACTTTGTAAACCCTTTAGAGAGGGCTGGAAAGCACTGTGAAGTGGTATATAAGTCTAAGTGCTATTGCTTTAGTGATAGATAAATAAATGATAGACGGACGGACGGATGGATGGATAGATGGATGGATGGATGGGCGGACAGACAGATATAGATGATAGATAAACAGTCAGGTAGGCAGACAAATAGGAGCCCTGGTGGCACAATGGTTAGAATACAGTGTTGCAGGCTAACTCTGCTGACTTCTGGCTGCCAGAAGTTCGGCAGTTCGAATCTCACTGGCTCCAGGTTGACTCAGCTTTCCATCTTTCCGAGGTTGGTAAAATGAGGACCCAGATTGTTGGGGGCAATAGCTGATTCTATAAACAGTTTAGAGCGGGCTGTAAAGCACTGTGAAGCAGTATATAAATCTAAGTGCTATTGCTGTTACTACAAGTAATCCTTGGTTTACAAGCACAGTTGAGACCAGAATTTCCATTGCTAAGCAAGGCGGTTTGAGTGAGTCGTAGCCGATTTTACAACTTTTTTCTCTCTTCGCTGTTAAGCAAATCACTGTGGTTGTTAAGTGACTCATGCAGTTGTTAAGCAAATCCTGCTTACGCTCTATCAACATCCCAACACTTTGACAGCTGAGATTTTGGAACCTGTATTGAAAAAGGGAAGGTTTAAATCCGTGGCCTCCTGCTGTTCTCCTCCGTGGATTATCCCAAAGGGGTCTGCAAAGACTGGGTCAGAAAAAATAAAGATGGTGGCCATGATCATGTGATCAAAGCCCCACCCTCTCTTTTAACATTGATCTGGACATTTTTGACTCCTCCCCCAAGACTCCACTGGATCATCTCTACTTGACTTTTACAACTGAACAAAGGAGCTTGAGTGGCGTAGAAGGCTAATGCCTCCTACTAAGGCAGCATTTAACATCCAGCTGCCTGCAATTACTGCGAGTTCAATTCTTACCAGGCTCAAGGTCAACTCAGCCTTCCATCCTTTCTAAGGTGGGTAAAATGAGGACCCGGTTTGTGGGGGCAATAAGCTGACTTTGTATAAAATATACAAAAGTATGAAGGCTATTGCTTAACGCATTGTAAGCCGCCCTGAGTCTCCGGAGAAGGGCGGCATATAAAAATAATTTTTTTTAAAAAAATGTGATTGCCACAAAATTCCCAGGCAGAGATTAAAATTGCGTAACTGTCCATCCCCTCCAAACGGATTGAGAATAATTTTGATCAATCGGGAGCACCGACTGGAACAGCTGAATCAAATTGATGAGTTCTGTTGGAGCCATTAAGTACAACTGACTGCCTTTCATAGCCCAACTCTCCCTAAAATCAATTCAGCTCTGATTTGGAGATTCGGTCTGGATGTCCAAATTCAACTCTCTTGATTTTCAAATCAATCGGAATGTTAAAATTATACCTGAACACATTTCAC